AGCACACTTACTATTACTATGATGTATTTGTGACAATTTTTTCTCTAGTTGATCTTTACTGCTATCCTTGCTACATTTCACTATGGCACTCAATAAATCCAATATAGTTTTCTTGACACTCGTGGAGTGAAAATATCGCGAGAGATTCTTCACTTTTCTTCTATCTAAGTATGGACCCTGATTGCAACTTCTACGAATGTAAACTTTGAAAGATCCATGCGGGTTTCTTGCACTATGCATTGCGATAATCACAACACAACCTATGATATAAAGCAGATTCCAAATGTAATTAGTATAGGAAATCGCACAAACTTGAGTACAATTTGGAATTAATAGTCATGTTGACAAGTAATGTTTTGAAAGTTCTTCGTAATTGCAAAATCATGATCATAAGTTTATAATATATATTTTTATAATCTGTATACTCATTTACTAACGATTTGAAATTTCACGTTAATTTGTACGACCAATGTATTTAAACCATCGATGTTAATCGATTATATAGATGGTGGTTTTAACCATCGATTACTAATCGATAAAAGTCACAGATTTGTTGCTCATCGATTAGTCATCGATTTCCAATATTAATCGATTAATTTTCATCGATTAATATCGATTTATATCATCAGTTTCATCGATTAATTACTTCGGGCATTTTGTCTATTTCAGGGATTTTCCACTTCAGTTTTCGAAAGTGAACTTCAAAGGTCAAACGAGACGATTTATTACATAATTTTACATCTTCTTTCATTTATTTCCAGTTAAACACTGCTTTATCGACTTCCTGTATATATCAAAAGAATTTAGACAAGACTAAAATGTTRACGTTAAAAATCTGTACCACTTGAAACACATGTGAGCACCGAACAATCAACAACTCACCAGTTCTGCTCGATTAGTCATGTAGAGAAACAAAAMTTACTCGTATTTGGAAATATCAACAGAAACAAAGAACTRTAAAGTCGAAACTAAGCTAAAATGATAAATTCTAAAGGTAATTTTTGAAGGCAAAGTGCTTCGTCAAAGTTAAAACAACACTGTACAACACGAGCTTCGTCGAGCTTTCGAAACTTGCCATAGAATTTCCCGCCATCATTCTTGCCATACAACAAGGATATTCAAGATAAAAATATAATTTTTCCTTCATAAAAGCAAAGAATATGGTGTAAAGGAACTGAAATAATAAGGTAGTTGCTGCTTTTCAAGTCACAGATAATGAAATTTGAGCTATGATAATCACAGCTACGTAAACAGAACTGGCGTACCTTTAAGTATCACAAATGCCTCCTATAAATCGTTTCTAGCTATATTCAGAAGTTGCTTTTGCCACATCTAGCTATATATATCTCCTGYTAAATCTTTCACTTGAATTTTTATTCAATATTCCGTGTCGTTATTAGGCTAACGAGGTCAAATATAAATCCCAAGTGACTTGAAAACATGGACATGGTGTGTCTCGAGTTCGATCGTGAACTCGTTCAAGCATGCTACACAGGAAGCCCAAGAAACAAAAGAAARAGCGCGCGAAAACTTTGAAAACAAAGACTGAAAAAATGGTGCATCTATTTATGTACCTGTATGTTAATTAAAATTGCTTAATGGTTGGTGATTGCTATCAATGGTCGCTTGGTAAAAAAGAGCGCTGTTTTATAGAACAGGCAATTTTTAAAATTTATAAAATTTTAAAATACCACAGGCAGCCCAAGTAAAAGTTTTTCCAAGATTTGAATAAACTTTTATTAAACGTCTTACTAAACAAGCAAMTTGGACAATACTATAAACACTTTATAATATCCTTTACACTG